AGATTCATCCTATATATATATATATATATATAAGAACGCTTTTGGGACATCCTGTATATGTATTAAATTTTTTTATATAATCTTTATGAAAAACAAAATAAATCATCTTACTTACCGTGTAAAAGAAGATGCCTACAGTATTGAAGCTAGTATTCTGTCTTAGAAATGGAACCTCTGAAACCCATAAATTCATTTAGAGTATGATGAAATCTATCTAATACCAAATTCTACTTTTTTATCAGTAAGGAAAATTGAAAAAAGTCATGTTTGAAGCTTTACCAAAGTGATAATCGGGGTCGGGCATGCCAGGCCCCCCCTCCTCCCCCACTCTTACTGCTTCACTCGCTCTTTGTCTCTCTCACCGCGTCGATACTTCGGTAAAACTTCAAACATGATTTTTTTCAACTTTCCTTATGGATAAAAAAGTGGAATTTGGTATTATGCGATAGATTTCATCATACTCTAAATGAATTTATGGATTTCAGAAGTTCCATTTCTAAAGCAGAAATCCTCCTATATCGTGGGCATCCTCCTTTAAAAGCTTTAAGCTGTAAACTTAAAGTCACTAAAAGGCGACTGTAACATATGTGTAGATAATACTGAATTATAACCGATTGTTTTTATATATTTTGAAAATTTACACATTGCTTATTCTTATTTCTTATTTACTTATTATCATAATTTGAAATCTTAAGAAAAGATTTTTTTAGTATTTTTAAAGTAAGTCAGTATATCTGATGTTCTTATTGTCTACAATTTAATAGCGAATTCGATTGCACGCTCTAGTGTGCACTGTGGTACATACTGTTATGCTCTGTACAAAAATGTACTCTAATTTAATCTTATTGTTAATGTAAAAGTGAAGTGCTATTTAACATTATAAAATATACATAAGCTTTTTATTTTAATTAGTGATGTAAGATTTAATTATTATCAATTATTACGTTTGATGAACAAGAATTGTTTAATTGCTGAATAAAGTTCCATGTTATTACAATACAATAAAAAATTGATAATATTTGTCTACATAATATTTTATTTTAGAATACAAAAGTTTCGTTAAATTCTTGTGATTAAATTGCAGAACGATGGCAGAATAATTGAACTTATAGTCGAATAATAGTTAGACTTACTGCGCAGAAATTTTTCTAATTCAAAAGTTATGACCATATAAGTCCGTTTATTCTTTGTTATCATCTTTTCAGTATTACTTTTTCTAATTTTGCAATGTTATCAGTGCAGATAAGTATCCCATTGCCGTTTTAATAGCCTAAATAGAGTACAGAATATAAATACAATTTTATAATCATGATGAACACTGGAAATAAAACATATACGTAAT